ATGCCTATCAAAAGCAGCACTTGGTTGAGATTCTGTCTTACCATAATTGTGATTCTCAAACTCAAAATGCTCCAGAATTAGACTGTCTTATCAGGCTTCAGGCTCAAAACATACAACGGAGACATGTTGTCTTCTTAACAGGTAAACCCAAAATTTATTAATACTTCTCTCCCTCCTTTGATAATAGGTGCTTAATATTAATACAAAATCTCCTTTTACGTGTTTAGCAAAGACACTCAGAACACTGTCAAATTATGTTGATAATGGAATAGTGGTTGCTACTGTCGATGACTTTATGCGAAATTTTAAAAGTCTCATTGGGTATCACAACTCCGTTACTGAAGAAAACAGCCTTCCTCCCTCTGACACTCACAAAAGACAATCAGGTAATGTTAAACACAGTTAACGCTTTCCTTACCTAATGAGATGGGTGGGGTGGAAGTCCTGGAGATAGCATGCCTTGTACTCTTGTAAAGGAACACTACAGATGGCAAGGAAAACCCAACTCTCAAGCTACTCTTTTTCTATTTTAAATGATGGGGGAAAAGCAGCTGGGATGGAGCACCAAAGGAGATCTTAAATACAGAATTAGAGGCTAACATGGTATTCAAGAAAGTAGATATATGCCAAAGTGTCTGTTTTCAGGAAAAGGGTAAACTTGGTGATAGATTTTAGAAACCATAACAAAAGGACTGAGATGTCAGTAATTGTACTCCTTTCATTGTCTGATCAAATACTCACCTGCTGTATAACTTTAGATGCTGTTTTGACATTAACCCCTTTGGAGCTGGGAGTTGGGATTTCCCAACACTAAACATGAACACAATGCGCAGAAGCTTTTAGCATCGGAATAACTGGACACAGAGGGTTAAGTGTGTATGTTGAGTAAGTGAACAAGAGTGACAGAAGACCAAGACTTAAGTGATATTGGACTTGCAGACCTGAAGCGTAAAACTCTGTGAGTAGTGTATAGCTTTTCTAACAAAAGTTTGTCTTTCAATAGAATAGGACTTTCTCTTTTTTTTTAATGTAGTTCTTGTAGAAAACGATGAAAAGGATGAGGAGGACATGTCTCTGGATTCAGGGGATGAAACAGCACAAATAGAAATCTGCAATGATGCCTCTAAGCATGATACTCATTTGGAAGGTTTGCAGACAGAGGCCAAGGGCTCACATGGAGCAGATGCAAAAGAAAGCTGCTTATCAGTTACAGAGTTATCTCTTGAAGCACAAATGGGCTTGACAGAAAAGACTTCTAAAATTGACGTGGAAGAGATACAACCAGTTTCTACAACATGCTTTGCTGAAGGAGAAAAACACAATTCGGTTGAACAAACTCCCTTCAACAACTTCCAAGGTCATAGCAGACAATTAAACATGTCCCATCAATTCAGTCACTTCAGTGTACTCACTCATCAGACCTTTCTGGGAACAACATACACCCTTTCTTCTGGAAATCAAACCCAAGAAGGGAGCAATTTTTTTTTAACTGCGTACAGTCAGAGCATGGATACAGAAAAGTCATCACCTGGTGGTTGGGATGTAAATTGTGATTCGTCCAGGTCATATTCAAAACAGAAATAAACTCTAAGTCTCTTTTTATAAGTTGCTGTGGACTTCTCTGTTTCTAAAACGGTGGATTAACAGTTTCTATTTTATTCTGGAACAAAATATTTCTTGTCCTTTATCTCAAATGTTTTCTTGTCTTATTTAAAACCTGATGGCCTGTACCTGTTGGAAGCATCTGAAAATTGAAATAAATATCTATATTTTTTAACATTTACTGTACTTGAATTATCTTGTTTGTTGGCACTTTTAAGTTTCTACATTTGTATTTTACCTGTACCTGGGCTTCAGTTGGAGGTCTGTTCTAATGTAAAACTGAATGTTTGCCTAAAATATGTGAAACAGCAAGGGTTTTTTTTAACTGTAAGAATATCCAAATCACTTTCTCTTTACATAAATATCAAAACTTATGTATTTATTTGACATAAATTTTGTACAAATGTTTTTACATAGCTGTAAGGCAGTGTAGTTATTTTAATGACTATATACTGGATTTTGGCTGAATACCTCAATTAGAGAAACTAGTGGTGCAGTTCCATTACAAAAATAAACTCTTAATGCACAGGGGACTTGCTAACACATTGTATTGTCTCTGGTTTTTATATTGTTTTTAAAGTACATGAGAAACACACTCAAACTTTATTTCATGAATAGCAATTATCTTTGTGTCCAGTGTTGACACTCCATGTTTATTAGAGCACCATCAGACTGATCTTACAACTTTTATCTTGCCATTGTAATTGCCATAATGCGAGAAGGATGAGCCTGGTTTTAATGACTCTGGTAGTTCAATTTGCACTAGAAAAACCTCAGTCCTTTCCTACTTCAGCATAATGATTACTGGTGAACTCCTTTTTTTTTTTTTTTTTAAAAAAAAAAAGAGCATTGTCATGTAAGTACAGAGTTTTATCTGTTTCTTAATCTTGTCCTTTTTAATTTCACATCTGCTGAGTTATAAACTTATTTTTCACCAGTGATTCTCACATAATTGTCTTATTTTGGACATCATCTTCTGGAAAACAGCAGCTGCTAGTACACAGCTGTGGACTCTGAAGACTGCTGTTACTACATTGCTGGTTTTGCATATACTAATACTTTTGACTCATGTTTACTGCTCTTGTCTTCAAGTTGTCCAAAGTCATATGTTTGGGCTTTTTCTCCTGTTTGTAATTTGATTTTAGTGCTTTTATGTAGGATGTGTGTTTTGGTACCGGATGCCAGTGTTTGAAAGTACATGACTCCAAACTCACAAAATTAGTTGGGACAAATACGCTTGGTTAAAAAAGGATAGCTTTTAAAAACCAGCCAAACCCCACAGCCTGTTCTCTGAAGTTGAGTGTCTTTCCTTCTGTTAACAGTTCTTTATTTGTTTAAATTAAGAACAAACTAGTACTTGACTAATGTAGCAAATGTTACCTTCCTTAACATGACAAATAAATAATCTTTTTTCAAAAAAAGAGCTCCCCCTTGTATCAATAACCCTTAATGGATTTTGTGATGAACTGTTCTACCACCTCCGCCATCAAATGGAGTTTCTCACCTCCTGCATGACCTGGCACACTAATGAGAGGACAGCTGTGAGATACCTGCAGAGTCAGGTTATGTCTAAGAGCAGTTGTTGCTGCAAGGAGTCTCAGTGTGGAGCTTCTGGGGCAGTTACTGTATCACAAAACAACTAACATGAGTTCAGGTTATGCATCTTCGGCAGAGATCTAGAAGATAAACAGTTTTACCCCAGATTATCCTATCTTTTGAAGATTAAAAGAAATAAATGTTTACTTCAGATTAATTTGCTACCTGGAAGCATGTTCAGACCTTGCTTATAAGAAAACTTACTTAAACTTGAGTTCTACTGCTTTGGGCCCAGCCCATTAGAATGTTAAGTTCTGCTATCCTGTTTTAATTGAGAGCACTTCTGTGCTCTTAAGATCTGGGATTACGTGACTTAATAAACAAGCTATCTGAATAGCTAAGTACAAGCAGTTTCATATAGTTAAAAAATACCAACAAATTGTACCCAAGCCCTTCAGAATATATCTTAATCCTTTTTATTTATCAAAATATATACACCGAGTTCTACAAAACCCCATGTAACATTTTTATCCTGTGTTGTGGTGGTTTATATTCAATGGACATGTGTCTTCAGGTAGCAGGAAGACCATTCTGAACAGACACGCCATCATTAGTTTAAAGTATCTTCAATATGAAAAGCAAAATGACCCTGTAATCTATCAAAATTCACATAATTTAAATCTTTCACAAAAAAAGAGATTGCTCACAAATAATTACAGTAGCAAAGTGCTGTGCATTTATATTTCAAGAATCCAGAACTTTTATATGTACCTCTCAATATGGTGAAATAAAATTCTCTTCGTGAGCTATAGCAGGAATCAGAGCAGTCTCCAACTCCTTCTGCTTCTGCAGGAGGCCCTGAAATAAATGGAATATAAATGTGAATGTTCTGTCTTCCTCATGCAGCCTGAACTAATGAAGTGTCACTGTTCATATTTTTAAAAAAATTAAAGTGTTAAGACTCAATGCTTTTTAAATATACCGCTTTTAAAAAAGATGCAGTACAACGTAATACATTCAGTAGAGCAAGAACTCAAGCTTTGCTGTCTTCTGCAAAAGACTTGAAGAGTGACTGAAGTGGAAGCCAGTCCAGTTTCCAAGGATGACTTGTGCAGATGAAAAAGGATTTTTTTCCATTGTATTATATTTAACTTACTCCTCTGTGCACTGTCGCTACATTCATGGCATTGTAGCATATTCTTGTATGAAGCTGAACCCAGAACCATGGAGGGTACCAGCTTTTGGTTTTAACGTAAATTATACTCCAAGATAAAGGACAACATTACCATTTGAACTAGAACAGTGTCAGATGTTTTAGGATACACATATTTACTCTCAAGAGGCTTTATTAATGGCTCTCCCAAGTACTAGACAATGGGGAAAACCTGTAATAAAAATCTTGGAAGTGTATCCTTGGCTATGTGGTAAGTAATACATATATACCTATGCCAGGTACCGTCATAAAATTGAAAAAATACTTTTTACTGTAATTGATCAGATTGTATACATTGATACATCTGGCCCTTGGTCTCTATCCATTTTAGACCTGTCAGAAGTAATTTGGTAGCAACGAAGTGTGTTTAAACCAACCAACCAGAAAAAAAAAAAAAACAAACAAAAAAAAACCACGGCAAAAGGAAAAGTTCCTCAGAGTTAAAAGGCCTTTCTCAAAGATGAGGGTTACAGGCTGCTGGCACAGCTCAGTACAGACCTAATGCAAGCCAGCAGGTACTGCAACCATTTAGACGTGGTATTCCTGGTGGCACAGAAGGGGAGAGGGGTCCTGCCAAACTGGCTTCAGTTAGTAAAGAAGCCTGTTAGACTGGCCTTTGCATCCTTCCAAAAGCACCAGCTGCCTACTTTCAATCACTTGATTAACTGCTATTTAATCAACAGTAGCTGCTATTTCTATTAATGGGTCAGTGGACTTGTTCAGTTCTTTGTTAAGAATTACTTTTATTATAGAATGTTGTTTTTGCATTTTGTAGCATGTTACAAAACAAAGTCATGCAGTAAATTGTCCTAAATCAAGCCAGAGCTGGGGTGAGAAACAAGTTAACACTGAAAACAGGAACAAAGTCTATCACGTGATTTGCAAAGGTAATGAAAAGGGCCTAGAGAAAAGTGAGGAGAGCTATCCACAGAGGGACAAGTGGTGAGGTCTGTCTTTGCAGCTCTTTGGACAGTCCACTGGTGGCTGGTGAGATCACTTAGCTGTTGTAGGCTACAACCTCTTGGCAAGACGTTTTATTGCCTTAGTGAAAATAAGATGTATGTACTGACTGTAGCTGGGATTTTTATCCTTTTTCTTAAACTTTGTCCCTTGTTTTTCACAAATACTTCATTCACTTTGCTGAATAAACTCGGGCTTATTCCACTGACTTATTTTCCTCACTGAAATAAAAATAAAGTCTGTTGATAATTCCTACTACTGCTGTCACCCAAGATACAGGCAGAAACTTGCTGTCCTGTAACAAATGCAATGCCAGCATCACCCTCCCTTTGGCAGAGAAGTTCCTCAGCTGCCCTCCATTTTCAGTGGTGTCTCTCATGGGTCGGCCAGTTCAGCTAGACTGTTACTAAAACAGCCTGGCTAGATTTATCTGTCAGTCTAGTTGGGGGTGTATTTCAAAGGCTCAAGACTGGTCAAATATGCTGTGACTTCCCCCAGACAAAAGTAGGCTAAACAATGGCTAAATATGTTGTGAATATACATATATTCTGAAACTATCAATCCAATATGTATATGCATGTATATATAATTTAAAAAAAAAAGCAAGACTAGCTTATATTCTGAAAGAGAAAAGTAAGCTCTGCTTTTTGTCTAAATTACATTTCATACAAAATACTGCATTACTCTTTCTTTCTCAGTGAAATAACTGATGCTAAATGGGTGTCATCTGTAGGACTATACTTACCTTGTATACCTAAGTTCAACAGTTAATGTCCTAAATGCATTCTGCAGCTAGTAGGATATTTAAAAAAGAACTCTCTCTGTTTCAGGTTAACTCTCCTCTAGAACCAAGGTCCAGTGAAAGACTAACCTTAACCACTGTTAAGACCTGAATATATCCTGTGCCTCAAAAATAGCCCTAAGCTCCTCTCTCTTCAAGTTTGACAACATGGATATTATAATCTTTAACTTCTTTAACTAGCCATGCATTTTGTTCACCTCAGCAAGCACAAAGATCAAGTTGTGCTTTGAAGCTGGCTTCTCTCTTAACCAAAATATCACAGGCAAATGAAGCCTTAATACAAAATACTTCACAGTTGTAGATATTTATTTAACAAAAATGTTAATGAACATTGGGGAAGAACTGATCCAATCAAACCTATCTGGAAGTGATTAGAAACTGGCAACCTTTCAGTGTTTTTGGGTCACAACTTTTCTTAATAACTTGTGGAGAGCCATGACCCTTCATTTGCACAAGGAATTTACTCCTGAAGCACGAGGTATGCACGGCAGAACTTCTGTCTTCCTAGAGCACAGTAGGTAACTAATATTGTTAACTACTGATAGTTTTGTTGTACTTACATCTGTCAGATTTTCTTCCCTTTATTTTGATCATTTATGTAATTTTTGTCCCTTAAAGCAAAGAAAAATAAATGGCGCTGCTAGCAATAAAGTACTTTTAGCATGGAGCCATTCAAAAACAAGGGAAGACACTGATATATGTTTATCTCTAGTGTTCTTCAAAAATGAAATGTAAACCTGAAAGTAAATGTGTTTGTTTTGTCTTGCAGTCCCCTGTCAGGCCATTTAGAAGCATAAAAGGAAACTGTGAGATTGTCCAGACCTGCGGTTTGAATCTGCTATGGGGCCACATCTTGTTGCTAACAGGTAGGAGTGTCAAATTCACTAATGTTTTACTAACTAGAAGCCCGACTGTTTTTTCCTGGTATTCTGACTCCAATCAGGAAAATATGTAACTTCACAGTTACCAGCTCTAATCTTTTGTGCGGCTTTAATTTACTGCAACATGGATCCTTAAAGACAGTCTCACCCTATTGAAAATTCTGGCAATCCTGTAGATCTAATCATTACCAGTAATTTACTACAAATAGAACAATGTATAGAAACACACAGAGGCTTTTGTCTCAGGAGCTCTTGTGTGTGTAGTATGGAATTAAAACTCATTTTATATTCACTCACTAAATCTGGCTGATTGACAAATCCTGAATTTAACATGTTAACAAAGGAATAACTATCTTGAAATTATTTTATAAGTGTTTACATTTCAAATTTGCAAATTACAGTATTTTTCCAGGACTGACACAAGTACCACCCCACTAACTCTTCTGGAGCAATCACAATGCTCTGTCATCACCAGCTTATCCATAAAATGCAGAAGTGAAATGACAAGATTTCTAGTGTTTTGTTAAAATAATCTTCATTTTCTCCTTGAAATTGAAACATTCTTACTATTCACAACCCTAACTATCAAAACCTGGAGACTAAATAAAGCCATTCCTCTTGGTTTCAAGCTTTCTCAGGTTCTCCAGTGTCTCATAGCTAATCTAAGGGCTAAGGAGTCCATAGTCTCTCTCTACACACAGTCCAAAAGTGAACAAAATGCATGAAAAGCAAAATTTCTAAGAGGGAACAGAAGTAGAGGACAGGGCCCCAAACTTATCATATATGATGGAAAAATGAGTTAAAGACTAATGCTTATGACTATGTCCTAGTTTGCAATGTTCATTTTGACTTTTGGATAAACACATATGTGTATATATATACAATAACTTTTTGCTTACCTGGCGTAATTCTGACAATCCTTTGAGAATTGCTTGTTGTCTCTCTCTGATTTTAACTACATCAGGATTTAGAAGAGGATCTCTAACATGATCAGAGCTAAAAATCTGTCGTGGCGTTTGGTAAGAATCTAAAAGTAAATGTATATCAAATCAGTTAACAATACTCTATCAATTCTGTTTTAATTTTGAAGCAGTAAATCTTCACAGCTTGTGAAAATCAGATTTCGGTTGCTAATAGATTAAAATGACTATTTCTAAGTCAAACAACACTTAGATTCCTAAACCCAAATCTATATACAATTATACCAAAGAAGTGCAATCATACTTTATTGAAAGTAAACAGCCAAAAAAGAGAGACAAAAGAATAAGAAATTTTGTTGCTTTCTTGATCTTTTTAAAAAAGGTTTTCTGTTTTTTTGTTTTAATTTTTGTTTTTTAATATTAGCATTGCTTGTATAGGCTTTCTGTACAGTGCAGTGACACACATGGGTCACAGCAAAATTCTGTAAAAATACCAAATTAAGTTGTAGCACTTTGAACTACATCAGTGTAACATCTCTTCTACATGAATCAGTTTACAATACATTTCAGTACCATTAAATTGTTGATACTGTGGGTCATGTGTTGAAGGTCTAGTCAGTGGTGCATCTGGATCAAGATAATATACTTCATTTGTTCGAACATACGGAATAAATTGTGAAGAGGGAGGTCTTCCAGCTTCTGTAACGGGAGGAGGGGAGCTCCTCTGCTGTTTATCTGTCTTCATGCTTTTCTCTCTTCTACTATTGTTATGTACCAGGAAATCAGAAGCATGGATCTGTTTTTGTTGTACTTGGTGTAATCTGTTCTTAACTGCTGGAACAGGTGGTGATTCAGATCTGTATGAAACAATTTCAGTTAAAAAAAAAAACCAAAGACAAACAACAACCAACCAAACAATACTTAAGTAATGTGATTAATTTTCTCAAAGAGTAGAGACAAAGAATCCTCAAAGGACTGTATTTTTGCCGATTTACTCTGCTTTTATACCTGCAGTTTGTCTCGTCTTGTGTATTTTTACTGCTAGATAATTAGATGCATCTAAATTCTTAAAAAAAAAAATCAGGGAAGAAAAGCATGTGTATTTGACAATTAATGTATTTATACATTTAATTAATGCAGAGTATTGACATACCTTTCTTCATTCAAATGATTCTTATGCAACTGTTCTTCCTAGGAGAAAACCAAATAAGTCTAAAGTAAAATAAAAAGCGCCATGTTTTTTTATATTACAAGCTTTCATTTTTCAATACAAGTTTGTTCTAAAATTCCAAAAGGACTGTTTGACCAGAGTTCAAGAGAAAGGTATTTATCAAAGGCTTGCATTAAAGAGACTTGTAGTGTCTATCAACTAAAACAAATTACAGGAGGATTTGCTCCAAGTTTCTATGTCTTTGGCAGCTCGAAGCACTATCAAAAATCTGTATATATTTCCCAATCACCTTGGAAAGCTGCATTTATAAACCTGAAAGGTTCAGCCCAAGATAACGATGATTAAAGGAAAGGCCGTGTTTCTACATACAGTCAGTAAAGTTTTCTGTTTAAATGAAAAATATTAACGTATCCCATGCTTCTTATGGTATCAGACAATGCTTACTTATCTTAAAAATTTGTTTAAAATTCATTGCCCCATTTCTCAGGTACAAAATTCTCAAGCATTTACCTTTCAGTAATGCAAGCACGAAACTTAGATCTACCAGTAACCTCAAATAAACCAACAAACTCAGTTTAAAAATAAATCTTTAAAGATACCTATGTGAACGGTTATGTATTTTCACATAGGTTTTTTTTTAATACACACAGCTTCTAAAATACATGCATGTAGCCACAGTAAACAACTGAAATAACAGTAAAAGCCAAGTCACACAATCTGAATATATTCTTCTGATCATGAAGAATGAAACAATGCTGTAGTACCATTCTTTACACAAAGAGTAGTAACAGGAAAATTCTCAATGCTTGAGTCACATAACTGAATTCCCATCCAGGCAAAACCACGTGGAACAAGAGTCTTGAAAATACATGTTTGTTAAAGACCAAATAGTTACCTTTCTGACTCTGTGTCCCTTGTTATTAATATTTATTTCTTCGTGAGGTGAAGACCTGTCTGAATAACCACCCTTTTTTGGGCAGAGATTCCCAGGGGTATTTCTTTCTACCAACTGAAGCAGCTCCATTTGTCGTCTTACTTTGTTTTCTTCCCTTTGTTTTTGTAGCTGTTTAGGGTATCTTTCTGATGCTGGAATGTATCTTTTCCCAGGCTTGTTTATGTTCCAGTCAGGTCTTTTGCTGTATTTTTCGGAAGGCTTAACTTGTCTTTCTTTTCTTGCATATTGTTCATATAGATCACTGTAAATGCCACCATTCATTTTTGCTGAAGTTTTATTTTTATCTATATACTGCATGTCCTTCTGGCATTTTTTGCTGCTAGAGGTTTCTTTATATTCTATGGAAATATCAGGTGATCTGCAACACACAATTCTTTCCTCAGCTGACTCAGTGTATGCTGAAGTACTGAAGTCATCTAAAAAAAAAAATATATATATATTTTAACTCCAAGTCTAAATTATTCAAATTACTTGACTTTTGTATGCATACAAATCTACCATTATTGATTTTATTCAAAAATTGGTTGTTAACCAGTTTTAAAATGTTTTTTATTCTTTTTGATGTGGAAGGTAAAACTAGTAGAAGCAAACTCAATGAGGAGGAAAAATAAGACTGGAGAATGAAATCAAGCCACTGTAAAAAAAAACTTAAGTGAAATGAAACTACATTATTTTAAAATGTAGAATTCTATTTCTGTCATGGTACCCAACAGTAAAGAGCAAAACACAGCTTCTGTTTAGTTTTTCAGGATGCTGATGGGAATAATTCCACAGTGCTACTGGGAATAATTTACTTTCCTAATCCTTGTCTTCCAGTGAAAATATTTTGTTCAATTTTTTATTACTAACAATCCAGCTTCTTTCTTTAGTAAGGGGCATACACAAAACCATTATATAATTTGTAAACTCTCCAAATTCACAGTAAAATTTCTACCAGCACTGTCAAAACCAAAAGTATTAATTGTTGCTTAAGCAAAGAGAAATAAAATAGTCTCCACAAGTGATAGGAAGCTAATAAATTTCTAAATACAAGGAATAAAGTGACACTAAGTTTCCAGCCAATATGCTCATTCACACCTCCTCTACAACATTAATAAACGCAGACTAAGTTTGATCTGGGTTTTTTAACAGTGTGATACAAAATGAAGATAAACCACTGGAATGTATTCTATCTAGATGGACCCACAATTCTGTCTGGGTATTTAGTAAGAATTGTAGAAAGCTTTTCTACACATTTGAATGTAAGCTCTCATTTTCTAATGAGTCTGGTTTTTCAGTTCTAGAATTACTGACAATTTTTCTGCCAGTATTATCAAGGATTCCTTAGGAACCCAGCCCTGCTCAATACAAAACCACGTTACGTAAACCTGTGAACATTCACACTGAAGACTACTACAAATACGTGTTTAAATGCCTTAATCCAGTTAGTTCTGCGTGGCTTGGGACCATGACTCTTAAGTCAACACTATATTTCAGAGTGGGTGATTTGAATCTATAACTGGTAAGTAACAAATACATAATTTGTTTAGAAAAATATAGTGATATATTGTAAATATTCCAACATGCCTGTTTTTGTCCAAGTATTTCTAGTTTTATTCCATTCTGAATGACAGTGATTTGGCCTTATAGCTCAGTTTCACAACTATGTTGTTCTACTGTGTTGAGGTACATCAGAGTTATTAAATTTAAGGGCTTCATACCTGTCTGTACAGCAGTGTCTTTCCGAGGAGAAGTCTCCGGATCAGTGTGACACTTAATGTCATCAGAAAAACCATGACTTTGATGTGAAATGTCAGTATTACAGTTTTCAAATTCTGTATCATCTAAAAAGAAGTAAGCAAAATTGTTCAGTTGAGTAAAATATGTTCCATTTAAACCATGCTATCAAGTTATCAGACTACTGTGGTTTAGGACTGAAAGCAAGACTGAGAACTATGGTTCAAATCCTAATACTCTCCCTTGTTCACTGGAAATCTAATCAACAGCACATAGGTCTGAATATTCCCTGTGTGTTCCTGATAATAGCTTGATATTTCTTACTTTATGTGAGAGGGTATTTGAGGCTTACTAAAATACAATATTCTCCATATCAGTTAACACTGATACTTGTTTGGAAGGTAAATAAGCTGAAATGAAATTTAGTTCAAGAAGCAGGGGAGCCATTTCTGACCCAAATGCAGATGTGGAAAAAAAAAACCCCAAAACAAAAACCACCAACTTGCAAGCAAACACCGAAGAAACAGGCAAACTGAATATGAAAAGATTTCTACTTGCCACCACCAAGATTCTTCTGAAGTTTTGAAATGTCATGTCCCTTCTGAGCCAAGTCTTGAATGCGCTGTTCTTGTTTTAACCTCTGTGCTAACTCTTGAGCTTTCTGCATTGTCCCATAGAGCTCATTTGTTTTAAGAGTCACAAGTTCCTTTAAAAACAAGAAAAAGTAAATATATGTGATCGTTTATTTTGAGAATAAAATCAATAGGATTACTTATTCCCCATATAATCCTTAAGGTTTACATATATTCTTATTTTGGGTATAGCATTTTTTTTAAACAACACCAAACCAGTTGAGTAGATGCTATCTGTAACATATAACTTTTATGATAATAAATTCAAAAACGTTGCTGTATGTTCAATCCTAGCATTAAAAAGCGAGCATCTAGATCTTCAAAGTTATTTGGTATTTATCTCCTTTCTAATAAACTAATCTTTTCCCAAATGCCATCCGATTTCAGCCATCTGTGACTTCCTATATCATGTCATTTAATTAAATAGAAAAAGCCAAAATAAAAATAATTTTAAAACCCACCTTCCTCCTACTTCCACAGACAGGAGACAGTAAAAGCCTCCCTAACAAAGGCAGAACATCCCTAAATATGAGAGTTACAGTCTCCAAATTCAGCTGATTCAAGGTGCAGAAGACTTGGCCAAGGAAAATCTCCTTTCCGAACTGCTATTACTGTCTCATCCCCAATTCCTATTACATTTGCAGGTGGGATGAACAACAATTGATATCATGACATGTTTTGAAGGAGCTGAGCTATTAGAGAGAGACAGGACTTCCCCAATTTTTTAACAGTTTGTTCTACCATCTACAGCCAGCTTCTATACGCTTCCATCCAGAAAATGCAGAGGAATCGGTGATCTGTACTTCTGCAAGTTTTAGAGGAGGGTGTGTTTTTTGGAATCACCCTGTCTTATGACATCATGGGATTCTACTACTGTTCCAAATATGAAGCAAACAGTAATAGATCCTACTGTGCCAAAAAAAAAAAAAAAAGAATAAAACATCAGACAACGCTTTTAACCTTCTACAGAGTCTTCTGTAACATGTAAGAATGTATATAAATGCCAAATTTGTACTTATCAAAGGATAAGCTCTATACTTATCAGCGGAGAAAGCTCTAGAACACGAATGACACTTAAAATAACTTTTCCAGAATACATTCTGAAAAGTCTTTAATCCAGAGTGAAAGCACATCCAGTCAGATAAAGTTCATGGTACAGAAGCATCTTAAAATCATCAAGTTACCAACAACAATAATTGGATCACATACTTTGAGGTTGGTTTTTTACTTTAAAGTTTGCATTTTAAAATGCATGTTTTTGCATTATTTAAAGCTACAAATCCATTTTTGCCAGTTCTTATCCATTTCTCTTCCTGAAAAGGCCCTTATCCAAAAAAGAAACCTTAAATTCATGTGGTTATAAGTTTATTAATCGAGGAAACAGATTTTGGTTTCAAATGCCTAAATTTCAGATAGTTTTAATTTTCAAAATGATGAGTCAACACCATTTTGAAGGTGAAGAAAAAGAACCATTTTCCTCAAAACCCAGTATTGTTACAGAATATCTGCACTAAAGAAAATGCAAAACCCCACCTCCTTTTGTTTTTGTTTCAGCATGTCTTCTTCAAACTGTTTCTGCATTTGCTCTTTTTCTCGTGCTAGGCGCTGTTCTTCCTCTTGTTCTTCCCATTTTTTTTGCTCTTCCTCCAGTTGTTTCTTCTTTCGTTTTTCTTCTACTTGAGCCATTATTGCTTTCTAGTAATATCAGAAAAAAAAGGAAAATTAAAAGATATAACATTAAAGATATTATAAATCAAGACAGTTTATTTCAAATGCTTTTGTTTCTTTTAATTTCTCACAAGAGAGGTAGCTGCCTTCCTTTTTGTTGGGAGGTGGGTGGGGACGACACCACCAGCCCAATAAAGCAGTGTGAAATATTCTGAGACAAACAGAAGTAGCTTTTCATATTTTAAAAAATACTTTTATTTTTCTTGTAAAGAAATGGTGGTCTGATTTTTATCTCACGTACTGTAAGCTAGTATTCCAATCTAGCAGACTAACAGTTTGACTAGAACAGGCTCGCTACATTTATACTAGGACTTCTTTACACTGTGCTAGAGAGATCATCATACAGATATACATTCAGTTAGACTGCCACAGAAGTAAGTGACAGTAGATAAAAATTTAAAGATTCATGAAGTGGGTACCTGTAAATATCAGTCCTCCTGATGACAGCAGAGACTGAAGAATACTAGAGCTCTAAATACACTATATGTTTTCTGAGGCAATAATTCAGCTACAGAAATGCAATCATCTCTGTACAAATATTAAAAGAAAACAGTATTGTCTAACTGAATGAAATACCGTTAAACAACTATAAACATGTAATCTGAAGCATAAAAGTCAAGTACCTCACTGGACTCTGGTATTAAATCTCATGCTTTACTCATGTGACAACACTACCTTTCACCCTTTCTCTTCTCATTAAAATTAGCAAAACAGAAGTCTACCTGATGTTCTATCTGTTTCTGCCGTTGCCTGTTTCTCTCTTCAATCTGCGCAGGGTCCAGGAGAGCTGTCATTGAACGGAGGAAACTATGAATAAAGAAACATGTAAATGTTTTTAATCACAAGAAAATAATCCTAAAGCCTTTCTTAATTAGAATCGGTTAGATTTCAAGTAAAATTTTCACATTGAGGTTATCCCATTGTATTAATTTACAATTATGAAACTCATTTTACTAAGGAACAAAGGAAGGTTATTTGCAGTAAATTTTATTAATGAACAATGGAAGCACTTCTGTCTTTCAAAAGTGAAACAACAGGTATTTCTGAAAAAAGCAAAAACCAAATGAATAAGATCCAAAGATCAGATTTAAAGAATCTTATTCAATTTTTTTTTTTTTTTAAATTCTGAGGAGGTATCAGAAATGTATTGGCTGGGAAGATGATTAACCTTATAAAGCTCACTCACCTGACTTTCTGACTGTGTTCCAAAGCACTGGTTTTAGCAGCTTTTTCTGCATATCCCACCTTTGAGGGCATGAGGTTGCCTAAAGCTGCAGGTGAAAAAGGGTGAATAAAAGCAGTCAGCTCCTTAGGGTCAGGTGAGGGGCAAAGACTTTCAAGCTGCTTTTTGTACATTCCATTTAAGGGGTGTTGTGCATTAGCATTAAGGTGGTCCTTTAAAGAATCAAAATGCATTGCCCATCTGTCATGCTCTTCAGCCTAAATAAACACAAAGCAACAAAAAAACAAATGTGCTCAATTACACTGTTTCTATAAAGTATGGTTAACAAAACAGACTACACACATTTTGTAAAACAGGAACATTTGAAAAGCTGTTATGGGGCTACAATACAGACAGTAGTTAATTCCCTAAATGGGAAAACAGAAGTCTCTCTGTTGCTTAAAATGCAAGTCAGATCAGAAATTATACTGCTGATCCATATACTTGGTCAGCAAAAACGTATTGCTACTGTATTTTCAGGGAAAAAAAAACCCAAAAAAATTAGAAAGTGAAAAAAAATTTTGAAAAATAAAGTAACTTAACATTGATTCAGGCTTTCTGGTACTGCTTTTTCAATTTACATTACTATTCCACACCATAATTTTTCTAATAGTACTGAGAACTGCTTGATTGAGAGGTCAGTACGCTGTCCACTCTGCCATACTTTACTCCTGTTGTATCCACATTCTCTCTCTAGTAACATGAACAAGGGGCATCTTTTACACTGGCCTACATTTACACCTTCCATTTTAATTCTGGATAGTAGTGGCATTAATGTGCTTTGAGGAGAAATATTAATCTCTAACCTCCTATTTTCAGCTAGACAGGCCCATTATAAAATAAGTCATCTTTCAAAATATGTTCCACCCATAGCAGCCACCACTGCTATCCTAGCAAAGTACCTAAAACTTCTGTGGAAGTCACAAACTGCATTTAAGTCTATCTTCAGTACCACTCAGGCTTATCTTTTTGGCTCTGTGTTGGCAATTGAGACATCCAATATATCACTAATAAAAGATTTTTACCTAAGGGGCCTTTGTTTTTCCTATAGGTACTGAGAAGGTTTTCTCTTCTGACTAAAAGAAAACTGTTTTCCTGGAGGGACTGGAGAATGGCTGCCTCAAAACTTGGACTCTGCAGGAAAAAAATAACAATCTAATCTATGAAACTTTCTGGGGAGTCCTTTCCTTAAACAAAAATTCCCTTCTGTCAGAAAAGTTTCACACCTAAAAGCAGCAAGAAAATCATAGTCCAAATAATGATAATTCGAATTATTCTTTCTCCCGTTCCCTGAGTTTTGCTCCCTTTGAATACTCTGTGATGTATAAGCAGATCAGAATAGCTGGAAAATCTACTTTATTCTAATCCAAGTCTGTGGTGCAATATGCAGAAGGGTTAAGAGTATAACACAAGACCTGAAAGATGTTGAAAAATATGAGATTAAGTGCCCATTAACTTTATTTCAAAAAGACCCTGGAAGTGAGATTACTGTTGAGTTACTCACTGGTGACTGCAATCATCTTCCCACAGTACAGCTATCAAATTAAAAAACAAGGCAGCTAATGAAGGAACTTTTCACAGCTGTGTTCCCTTCACAGTTACAAAGCTCAATTTACAAAGGAAATGTAATCCCTTCAACAACTCAGGAAATGAAAAGACTTATGTGGAGGTATGTAACCAATCTTAGCAACAAGGGGTTTTTTTGGCTCTCTTCTAGTGTTAAAAATTGTGGAATGAAAATAAAGGATTTCTGCTTAGGAATTGTATAATTACCATAAATGCTTCAGCTGAGAGTAAAAACTGTAGCCTTTTAATCCAGAAGGCCACAGACTATGACCATTCATATGAATCAAGTTTTGGTAACCAAAATTCTTGTTCATTAATAATACAGAATATCTCATGGTGTGAATGTATCTCATGCATGATGAAAGATATAATCCTGGGGTTAAAAGTGTGTACAATAATTTGGAAATCTGGATTCTAGCAGTAGTACATGTAATAGTAATAGTGCAGGTTTCTTCACTTCAAAAACCAAACAGTCTTTAGAACAATGTGTCAGTATCCACTGACCTAAAAACTACTAATAGTAACATGTAAAGGAAAAAAGTCAGATTCTATATGAAGAACCTCCAGGGGGTAAAAGTTATATTGACTACATTGGCCAATAGTGACAGTATTAAAAGTCTGTTCAGGTATTCCACCTGCAAAGCAATTATATTGGCCACAGCTTCCTTCTAGATCCAGCATAAGAGACCTACATTCAACAGCCTGGAAAAACCAAAGGGTAAAAAAGGTAAGGCTATTTTCTTCAATACTTTTTTAAGTAGACCTATTTAAAAAGTTTCATATGAGTGTATGTGTATTAATATTTCTAGAAACAGGATTTGAACATCACTGTAGCACACTGTAATTGTCTATAACTTTCCTTCTCTTTCCTTATCTCCTTCTGTAGTCTACAGAAATGTCTTTTTACAAAGTGTCTGGACAGTATCTCTACATCTTCCAGACTAGCGCTTTTAAAGAATGGTGGGAAAGAAAAAAAAAAAAGTATAGTAATATCATCATCTTCAACCCTACAGCAAGCACTCTTTAACACATCACAGCAGACTCATGGTACTCTGTTCTCTGTCACTGAAATACAGGAACAGCTATGGGCTAAATGTTCAATTAGGCTGTCCTATGGATTTATGGTAAAAACCTGGACATGCTGCAGGTAATTACATCTTTGTTGCTACTTCATTAGGTCTATGGCTTCATCTTTTATTTCTTAGAAGAAAAATTGAGAGAAAAACAATTCTTATTCCAAAAAGTCTCTCTAAACCACAGATACCTTTGATAAATTAAGTTTTTCTTCTATTTTTCGCAGCTTAGCTTCCTCCTTCTGTTTATCCAGCTCCTCAAGCCACTTCTTCTGTTGCTCATGCTTCAAAGCACTAACAGGTCGTTCCTGCGGCACAGCTTCCTGAAATAAGATAAGTGCTAGTCTCTTCCTTATACAAAAAGTTCAATACCTTGTCTTGCCACATAATAAAGAGTTGGCAGAAAACTCTGTCTTCAGTTGCTAGGCATAACTGGGCTGTTGTACAAAAAAAATGAATTTAAGTTTGTAACAAGTGTCTGACTGCTCCGTAAAAATGCTTCAGTTGTTAGAAAGATGCTAAATAAGCCAGTCTTTGAATAGTACTCTAACTTGAACTATCAGCCTCTCACTCAAAAACCCCCCTTATTTATGTATGTATCATTAATATTTTATTAATATATCATTAATAAAAATCCCTTCCTTCTTCCTGTGGTTCACTGCTCAGTCTGTTTGAGGTGGATTCAGCACCGTGATCTAATTAGTAATGATCTGTCACAAGTAAATTCTAGATACCATCTTCATTCTTCTGCTCCTGCTTCTTGTGGGATATGTATATTATTTAACAAATTCCAGTGGCACTGAGAACTTTCAGTGCTGACAAAAACCACTCTTCAGTCAGTGCCTACTAGCAATAACTCAAACTACTTCTTGAACCTTCTGCCATCAACATATTTTTTTAAAGTCTATTTCTGATAGGTTCCCACTTCTTTTATTTCTTTAACACATACTTAAAAACTAAATAACACTTCAGCTCACACCTCTAGTACTGTTCTTCACATCAGCCTTGAAAATGCTCAGTCTTCAAAGCATCAATATTTTGATAAACATTCATTCAGACACAATCCTCTAGACAGAGCAAAAAGGTGTAGTGAATTCTTCTGTTTGAAAAGAACTACTGAAGGTATAAATCTATTGTCAGTAAGTAAGTAAAAAAACCTGCATGCAATTTAAAATCTTACCCCTGAAACAAATGCTGTGCAGCTGACAGCTGGTAAGTCAAAAGATCTGAAATCAGGAGACTGCCCAGCTGGAGCACTTGAAACATTCAGTGTGACTTGATTACCCTCTGTGGTTAAAGCAGTTGTACAGACACAGTTTTCCTCAGTGGTAATAATTGAGTCAGCTGGAAACACTATCTGCAAATAAAGTGACCACTGTTGTTTACAATTTGATTTATTTAGCTCACCTGTTCTGTTGGTATTAAATAGCCTTTAACATATATAGTAAACAAGTAAATTATACTTCTAGAAGCTGTTATTCATTAAAGATTCAGCCAAAACTTATAACTAAGCATCTCATATCCAGTATTTTTCAATTACGTAGATTGAAACAAATTCTTATGGGGCAGAGTGGTAACTTGTCTAGGAATGCTGAATATGCCACAAAAAAAGCTATTTCCTTTTGCTGTAATAACTGATAGCAGCTACAACCCTAACTTCTGTTTAACAGCAATCAATTTCACTGGAGAAGCAGTCTCATCTGAGTATAATATATTTATCTGACACAGCATTTTCAGAGTGACAGCTGACTTCCTTAAAAGACAAGTGAAATTGCTATGCTTATTATGTAGGCATCAAATGTATGTGAGAGCTCATGAACAGTGTAAATTATTATATAACCAGGAATTGCATTTCGGACGATTCCTCAAAACAGAACTGGAAAAGATTTACACCTTTTAGTTAGGAATCAACATGGAAGGACAGGAATGGATTCTTCATGCCACAAAGATCTTAATTTGTAAAGTTACAAATTGGAGTAATAGCTAAGCGTGAAACAGGGAGTTGCAGCAATTCATGCCATGCAAGAGCGTAAAGTGACCACTGAGACTGGATTTCTATAGAAAAGAATATCTTTTATGAAGTAAAAGTTGATCAGTTCTGTGGAAACTCTGTGCTCTTTGGGGTTCATGGATAGCCTTACCTTGTCTGGGTCAGCTGCTTCCACTTTCTCTTTATGGTTTTCATTATCGCCAGGTTTTGCCCAGAAATAACCCACCTCTCCCTCCAAAGTTTTTTTCAGTTTCTTCTTCAGTGCTACCTGTTCATCTTCAAAAAAACAAACTCCAGTAAGAGTTCCTAATACAGATGTGTAGCAGTTTGTTGGTTTGGGGTTTTTTTGGTTGGTGGTTCTTTTATTTATTTTTTTTTTTTTAAAGCAGCAATACATGTCTACCCTGTAAATTTAATTGTAAAATGGACTACAAGAGTAAGTCACCATTGTCTTAACAATCAGCCTAAACATAACTTTGCTCTTAAGAGGATGGCGGATGAGTCTCTGCCCAGAGATGTAGAGGTAATTGTGGAATCTCTCTGAGATGAATACAGACCACTGAAGGCATAACAATGTCTCAAGGGAAGAGGGAAATCTAACAGAAATAACCAAGTATACAAATTCTCCCCATTTTATTATACCGGTCTTGGACTACTGTAATACTGTTAAAACCAGTGGAGCTATACACGGAAGCTACTAACAATGCAGAATCAAACCCTGAAGCCAGATTGTTTACACCCAAGTTGAAAACAAAACACAACACTCCTGCATGTGAATCATAAAACACTTACTTTGTCAGAGAGAATTTACCACTGCGTTAAACATTTTTATTTTTTTACACAGGTTTCCCTTGGTTGGTGATGGGGCAGGACTGCCAACTGCTTCAAGGTCAAACTGCAATTTGATGTATTCAGTCATGCTTGTAGATTAGGGTGACACTTTTCGCTTTAAAAAAATTTTTGTTAATGATAATAGCTATCAACTACTGGCAGAACATGACAAGACTGGTGGCAACTAACTCCTCAAATATGAAGCATAACTGAATATATTTGTGATAATATTTATTTGGTTAAGGAGCATTTTTGCATGAATTTATAGATAATTTTTGCATAAAATTTTGAAATTCAAGAATCTTAATCTGTCTTGGAGACTAATGAAACTATTTTCCAATTTGTAGCAACTGCACTGATACAAGTAAATTTAAAAGAGCATAAGGAATACAGTTTCTTGGCATCCTGAGTGTAATAAATTAATCAAAAAGACATTGTGTAAATCATAAGTACCTAATTCCTTCTTCCATTGGGTCTTTCTAAATTCTAATAAGGCTTTCTCCCCTTCTCTTTCACCCAAGGTACTAAACATGTCAGCAGGTTTCCACGAATCCTTTCTAGAGAAAAAGAGGGGGAAAAAAATTACCTAAAAAGCTTATTTGTTAATAAAGGTAATTTTTTAATTAGTATTTATAAATATTCTTATAACGATTAAGAATTACAATACAAATCTTTGATGGAGATACAATATTTGTAGACAATAACACAGATCTACGTACATAACTTTCTGTTCTGGCTGCAGATATGCTTCTTGTTTCTTGCTTAAATCAGAGTTCGCTTCACCTGGAACAGATGAAACTTCACAAGCTTTTTGCAGCAACACTATGTTGTCCTCTGATGCCTCATTAGTAGCTGTGGTAGAATATAAATATATAAAAATATATATAGATATATATGAACATGATTAAACTTTCTTCAGCATTGAGTAAATACTTTAAGAACAGCAGAAACTTGCAAATTCCCCACTGTTTAACAGAACTGTTTTAAGCCCTGCTTGTATGGTTAAGGCCTGTAATGTTACAACATCACAGGATATTTTTAGAATGTGAGACTTACAGTAAATGCTATTCTTGGCTCAGAGCTCAGACTTAGGTACTCTTAATTACTTAATTGCAGTGTGTCTTGTTCATGGTGGCAAAAAGCTGACCACCTCCATAGGTCCACAAACAGGAGTAAGGATGTAATGCAGGAAAATAAGCAATAATTCTTATGCTTCTGAGTAGAAGAACTCAAGAAAAAATACTACTCAACAATAATACTACAGTTAGGCAAAAAGATACATGTACATCTTTGGGCCAGAAGAAAATGGCACTACCGCTCTTGAGACACATGGCAAGATGTGAACTCTTCACAAAACCAGAAAGGTCTATATCTTTGAGGTACTGTATTTTTTTTCAAACTCCTAATGGTAGTGGCACAGTGCAGTTCTACTATGGTTTTTCCCCCAGCGTAAAAAGGTTCCTTTTTTTGCATGAAATATTAACAGAATTGCTTGCTGTTTTGCTCTTCAGAGTACTGCAATACTATCAAGCAATCCTTAGTTTTTACTGTTAAAATTTTCCAATGCTTGGTTCCCAACAGTAACAGGCAATTTCACAAACAGTATTTTGTCTAAGACCATTAAACATAAGAGTAACATCTCTGCAGCCTGCAAGGAAACACAAATTGTGAACTCAAAGATAAAGCTTTCATATTTTGCTCTGTTTACATGAAACTCATCAATTATCAGTTTCTTACCCATTTCCTCATGCTTTTCATTATAAGTCTCAGAGACACTTCTAGTTCCTTCTTTTACAGTCATCAAAATCTGTTGAAGCTGTTCTTGTGTTAAACACACCAAACTACTTAGGTCTTCAGCTGATACACATGGGTTTTGAGGTTTCTGTTTACTTTTTTTAACAACATTAGGGGTCTCTGAATCAGGATATCTGTTCATGATATCACTTTGGAAAATCAGAGAATGATCTTTAGTTTCAACTTCATGTGAGGAGTGTTTGGTAACTTGCAGTTTTTCACCTTTAGTCATTGATAAGCTTGATTCACTCCTTGATTTTGCTAAGTTTTCCTGCTTGATACAGGCATTTTGTGTTGACCTCAGAACATGCCCAGTATGCCTTATTCTCAATGCCTGTTTAGGTGCTCTGGCTTTCTTACCCATCTGTTAAAGCAAAAAGATTTCACCGTATATTAAATAAGGAAATAAAATTGCATGGATAACAAACAAAAACAAGATTGAAGCAATAAATAAAGTGTAATTTTTCTTCTGTTACATCAAGAGAAACTAACTCCGTATAAACTAATAAAATACTAGGAAGAGAATACAGCACCTAAATTTCAATATTTAAAAATGACAGTATGAAAAATAACTTTATTGGCATAACATTAACAAACATTAATTCTGCTTTGCTTTGTTTCTTCTGAAGCCTCGCTTCAGACAGGTACGTGTTTTTAGCAGACAGCAAGTATTATTTCAGTCTTGATTTTTCTATTCTGTACTAAAGTTTTATCCTTTTCAAGGTCCTCGATGTACACTTGCAATTATCTCCTCTGTATTGAGACCTTTTCTGCTTCCTTTCCTTCCCCAACCCACTGCATTCCAGTTTACTCAGAGACAACCTATGCAACTGAACATGCAACTGAACTGGAATTTAAACACACTTCAGATTCCTGTTTTACCAGGGTCCTTTTAAGATCTCTGAAAGTTCTGATTTAGATGATTTAGATGATGTGCTGCTGCAACTTCTTGGCAAAGTAAACTAAAGCATTTTGCAAAGGTAAAAGTAGTCATAGAACTTTTAATTCATGTTTTTTAACAGCTCTTATGAACCTGAGAAACCATAGAATATCTCAAGTTGGAAGGGACCCATAAGTACACGTTTATCTTTCAGAAATACCACTGATTACAAGAATTTAGACAGTTTGTGTTCTCAAATTTCTGTGTTAACAAATTAACTAGTGAATTTGTCTGCTCTAACCAAAAAAAGTAATTTTTCCACTTACCTTCATTGCAGGCTTTGATTGATCTTTTGGAAAACAAACACAAACATGTGAGAAAAATATTTAATAGCAACTTCCTCCTGAAAAACAATCTTGAGAAATTAGTAAACTGTTATATTAATCTGATTTTTGTAAGGCAGGTGGAAAGTACTTTCCTCATAAAATAATATAGTTGGGGAAGATGTTGTGGTTTTTTTATTTCAGTATGCACACTTCAAAAGTATGTTGGAAAAAAAATTTAGATACATTGCAGCAATTATTTCTAGTTTTATATAGCGCTAATAAAATTATTGTGCCAGTCTGATACTCCTCTGCTATTCATTGCTTCTCAGAGAGCCCTGTGATAATGGCTTATTTTTAATTGTTTATTTATTGTGATTTTTCAGTTTGCTTTCAGTGTCACATCCTTCCAGGATAGTGCCTGCATCCAACCCCATCTTAGTACATGCCCTGAAATACTCTTCAGTCTTTTAACCCAAATCCGAGAGGATGGATAGAGGTGTAGTGGTCTCAAAAATGATAAAGTACTATGTTTAATATAATACGTATTAATAAAGAATAATATTGATTAATAGAGGGATTGTGGTACTCCACACAAGAAATTCTGCACATATGGCTAATGGAAAAGGGAGAGAAAATAGTCGGGACCCGCTGGAAACAAAGAAATCTATTGGAAACACACCTGTTGGAAACAAGGCTCCTTCAGCTGCACTATGCAACTATTGCTCTGGCAGTGGTTGCTGCACATTTTGCACTGGTAGCACCTATACCTTTTTTTGCATACCCAATTGCATATACACTGGAGAACAGTAACTGTTCTTAAACTCTGCAAAACCACATTATTAATAGTTTCCAACTTAGATGAACATTTAAAAACTTTGGAGTATGCTGAATTGTTGTCCTGCAGATACAGGCATTGATAATGTTTCACTATTAAAGGTGTTTTGCAACTGTGTTTATTACTGGGTTCTCAAGCATTCAACCCTCAGCTCAGTAGGTAAAAGTCACTTTTTGACTTTTTTCTAGCTATTCAGAAAATAAATAAAGTGGGATTCTACATGATATGCAAACTCAATTTCTCTGTGGAAAGGAGAAAAAAACATAAAGATGGTCTTTGCCATCACAGTGGGGAGATACCTAATGTGGAACTCCAAAGTGCTGCTTATGGGTTATCTTCTTTGGCCTTAGGTTTTTTTCTGTGTAAGGGAGAAACAACTGTCTCAAATAGCAGCTTGAAGCTACTAGAGAATAATCCTACTTTAGCCCCTAAGACTGGGAGCAGTCTTTGACAGTGCAGAAAACTGAAATTCAGAAGTAATACAATTTGATGCAACTTTTGACACAGTTCAATTCAAGGAAGTGCCATTTATATCAGTTGTATAAACATGTTAATTCCAGAAGACTGATTGTTCAAGGCCAGTTCAATGTAAAGGGTAATGCTTTATTTTAGAGCACTCTGGAATTTTCACTGGCCCTATCCAGCCAATGATGCTCACTATGGTTGTAAGAAGTGAAAGCTGTTGCATTGCTGTTTCAGAGGTGTTGCAATGTTTTGTTTCCAGTACACTGGTATTTACTGACTCTAAATACCCCATAATGTCAGCTGTCAACAGACAGCTGTTTGGTAAATGCCAAAAATGAAATACAATTTCAAGGGCCTTAAAAAGAAATTCCATATCCTGACTGCTATGTGGAACAGTTAGGGAAAGCAGACTTGTGCATGTTTAGAAATGTATGTCTGACAAATCACAAAACCAGATTTATTAACAGTTAATTACAAACATACATGAGAAAAGTCTATCTCAGATGTTAGTGATGAGATCTGGCCTAAATAAACTGCTTGTTGAAAATAACAAATGTCAACTACGAAATACTAAAGCTACTTTAAAGTCAGAAATGTGGCTGTAACACTGTAGTTCTGTGTAAATTAACCAGAGAGTTACTAGGTGTCTTTTTCCTTGGTAAGCAAGGTGCTCTAAAGTTACAGAAATTATCAGGTTATGTCAGTCAATATTCAAAAAAGTACTTCACTTTTTTCTGTCAATGACAAGGTGTAAAGAGTCAAGACTATTTGCCAGCTGTTCACTAGTGGACAGACTATTCTGAAGTTCATTATCAGCCGACTGTTCAGTATCAAGCTGGTGAGTAAAAGGACTTTTAAATACCAACACACAAATATTCTTCCTAATCTGAAAAATATTTCAATAAAGCTGTGCTTCACATTGCTTGGATTTTAGGTTTAATTTCAAGAAGCTTTAAAGATTACTTGAGACAAATGATTAAAAAAATACCAGAAGAAGATAAAATTAGCCTAGGCTTTCCATCCAGGACTTCAGTTTCAAGCTTCAGTCCATCACTGCAAAAAGAGAGAGAGATATTGGGGAATCTGATAATGGTAAGATTTTTACATTAATAACAAGGACAATTGTACTTAATTATAACACTGTATTTACTGTTGGTCCAGATGGTCTTTCATACCCCAAGCTTTCATAGAATCATAGAATCACAGAA